GCCACTGCACTCCAAACTGGGCGATGAAATGAGACTCTAACTAAAAAAAAAAAAAGAATTGCATATTGCATGGGACATACTGCATTTTTATTTGTTATGTATGGCCACTCTAACTAGATTTTTAAATATGTTTTCAGCACAATTTTAACAATTAATATTTACAGAGTGCTTTCGGCATGAAAGTTTCAGTACTTTCATGTCAAAGATATCCTCAGGGGCCACAAGCCTTGCTTGAGTGTACCTCCTTCACCATTGCACCCATAGCTTCTAGCTCATTCTTTGACATACAGTTGGTGCTCAATTAATATATATTGAAAAAATTAATCAAAAGAGTAAAAGAAGTCTTTTTGCTTACTTTGAATATGATGCATTGATGATGCTTACAACCTAGGTGGGAATACAGGCTCACACACATAAAAAGGTAATATGATTACTAAAATCTTATTTAAAATTTTGACTGATTAATTTACTTAACAGGCTAGCCCACTTAGGCAAAGAATTCAAATTCTAAATACATGAAAGGTTACTCCTACTTCAGCAAGAAATGACGCAGAAAAACAAAGACTGCACCATCTCCCTCATATGTGTGGGAATCTTTAAAGGTTGATCTGAGGGAAATAAAGAACAGAACAGTAGTTATCAGAGGCTGGTAAGGTCAGGGAAGAGGAAGAGAGGCTGGACCACACGTACAAAGTTACAGTTAGAGAGGAGGAATAAGTGCTGGTGTTCCATTGCACAATAGAGTCATCATAGTTAGCGACAATGTCTTGTATATTTCAAAATAGCTACAAGACAGGATTTTGAATGCTCTCACCACAAAGAAATGATAAATGTTTAAGGAGATGGATTGGCTAATTGCCCTGATTTGATCATTACACAATGTATACAGGTACTGAAGCATCCCATCATATCCCATAAATGTGTACAATTATGATGTGTCAACTAAAAATAAAATAAAACTTTAAAAAAGAAGAAAAAAATCAAGAGAGAAAAACGTTGTAAACAGTGATCTTTGACCAGGATTTTGAAGCCCTTGTATCTAAATTTGGTGTAATCGTTTTTGTTTTTGTTTTTTTTGAGTTGGAGTCTCACTCTGTCGCCCAGACTGGAGTGCAGTGCTGGAACTACAGGCATGCGCTACCACGCCCGGCTACTTTTTGATTTATTGTAGAGATGAGGTCTCGCCAAGTTGCCTGGGCGGGTCTTGAACCCGCGGGCTCAGGCAATCCGCTCACCTCATCCTCCCAAAGGCGCAGGATTACAGGCTGAGCCACTGAGCCTGGCTGGTGTAATCGTTTTAATTATCTGATTTAAACTGTCCCTGTGGGCAATATCGCCTGTTTTCTTTCATATATACTTTTACTCTAATGTTCTAACCAAATAAGTCCTATATTTTTAGTACCTTTATTTCTGTTGGAGTTGAATTTAATCAAGGGGAATTGGACGTGTACTTAGTAGTCAGTTTTACATGAAGTCTTACTGTAAAGTAAAAATTATTGTACTTCTAAAGAATTTTTAACTCATTGTAATACCTATAATAACATTAAATACAAAAGCTAACTAATATATAATATTTTATCAGTATAAAAATTAAGCAGCCGGGCTCGGTGGCTCAGCCTGTAATCCCGCGCTTTGGGAGGCCGAGGTGAGTGGATTGTCTGCGCCCGCGGGTTCGAGACCCGCCTGGGCAAATTGGCAAGACCTCATCTCTACAATAAATCAAAAATTAGCTGGGCGTGGTAGCATGCGCCTGTAGTTCCGGCTGCTTGGAAGGCTGAGGCGGAAGGATCGCCGGAGCCCAGCAGGTCGAGGCTGCGGTGGACGGGAGCGGCCACGGCCCTCCAGTTTGGGGGATAGAGTGAGACTCCAACTCAAAAAAAAAAAAAAAAAAATTAAGCATGTGACTTTATATACAACAGTGGGAAAAAATTAGGCTTATGGAACTTATTGTTAGAGTTTGTTTTATTATTTTTCAAAACATAATGATAAAACACACGGGTAAATTTACTATAATCATAAATTTATCAAATCTCAGGATGGTAAGACTTTAAAGATACCATTTATAATTGAAATTATTTATATTCTCTTTCTTCTTCAGAGGAAACCCTGAAGAACTATTGAAATTTCTAAAGAACAAAAACCCAACCACTCTTTCTTATTCAGAGTTTCTTATAAGACTGACCGAAACAACCTTCTAGTTTTCTTACTTGCTTAAAGTAGTACTCACATTCAGTTTTGCTAGTTGTCTCCAAGTGGTAGAAGAGCCATAATAGTTAGAGTCTCAATTTAAAGAAAAGATGGATAAATTTGACTACATTAAAAAAACAGTTTATGTATGACAAGCAACATCATAAGGAAAGTCCAACAATATTATTCATAAAGTTATGAGACAAAGAACTGATGAGATTACCTAATATATTAAGAGCTTCTATAAATTATTTTAAAAGACCAGCAATGTAATAGAAAAAGCAGTAAAGAGTATGAATAAAACTCCAAAAAAGGAAAAAAGCAAACAATCTGAAGTACAATAAAATGTGTACAGTATCACTCATAATAGAGATTCAAACTAAAATCACAGTGAAATACCATTTTTCATTCAACAGATTGGCAAAAGTCTAAAAGTCTTATTAACACATTCTCTAGCAATGCTCTTAGGAACTGGAATTCCCATCTATCGTTCATGGGTGTATAGCTTGGTATAATCTATGGAGGGCAAATTGATTATATCTGTCAATGTCACAAATGTCCAATTAGTACCATGGACATATTGTCCACATGCGAGAAATTAAGCATAAAATTATTCATTGCTGCAATGTTTGTAAAAGTACAAAATCGGAAACTATACAAATGCGCATCAAAAATGAGCTAGTTAAGCCGGGCTCGGTGGCTCAGCCTGTAATCCCGTGCCTTCGGGAGGCTGAGGTGAGTGGATGGCCTGAGCCCGCGGGTTCGAGACCCGCCTGGGCAGGCGAGACCTCATCTCTACAATAAATAAAAAAATCAGCCGGGCGTGGTAGCGCGCGCCTGTAATTCCGGCTACTTGGAAGGCTGAGGCAGAAGGATCGCCGGAGCCCAGCAGGTCGAGGCTGCGGTGGCCGGGAGCGGCCACTGCACTCCAGGCTGGGTGACAGAGTGAGACTCCAACTCAAAAAAAAAAAAAAAATGAGCTAGTTAAATAAATGATTGTCTACCCATACAATAGAACATTATGCAAGGGTAAAATGAATAAGAAAACTCTCTGTACCGATGTGAAAAGATTTGCTGAGATAGATCTGAAAAAGCACGATGTGGAACAGAGGGTTAAACACTATATGCCTATGTTAAAATGTACTTATATTTGCAAAAAGAACTGACAGGATGTTCAGGAGAGTGGTTACCTATTTTCAGAGGTAGGGAGGATTGAGACGGGAGAGGTAGGGGGCGGGGGTGGAAGTAAGACTTCTGCATACCCATTTGTGTATGCAGAGGGTGCCAAAAAAATTACACATTTTAAAAAAGGAAAAAACTATACTAAAATTGTAGATGAATACAAATCACATTTGACTTCTGCAATTACAAGAGTTGCTCAAAGTGGTGACCATCAATATCCAGACACTTCCGATCATGGCGAACTAAAAGCAATACATTGATAACACCTCTTAAAACATATTTTTGGTAGTCCTGGTATATCTTTTACAATTTTGAGCCATATGACTATTACTTATGTGCCAGTCAAATAATTTAAAACAAGAACAGCCTGTGCCTAGGCCCAGAAGCAAGAGAGAACACAGATGTGTAGAGGAATTTTAGGGTGAGCCACCGTGCCTGGCCCCAAATACATCTTTATAAGGAAGCCATGGTAACTTCTAGCAACTTATTTGTCTTCTGTGGCCTTATTTCTAAATGAGATTTTAAGAGCCCCAAAGATTGCTCAATTTGGAATAAGAAGACTTGGATTTGAGACCCTGAGTGAGAGCTATGTGACTTTGAGCAAAACATCATCTTTGAACCTCAGTTTTGCTGTCTGTGAAATAGACATGACGAGGCATGCCTTACTCCCTTGTGTTTAGTGAGCCTCGGGTACAGCTTTGGAAACTAAGTTTCTGTGACACGCAAGGGGCTGACCACTGTCATTGTTTTCGTGTGTATTTCTGTTAATAGACACAACTGTGCATTCTGCCCTTTCGTTAGACCGCCATGCAGTGTTTGCTCCATGCGAATTAAAAATAGCAGGCCATGAGGAAATGTCACAGCTGGGAAATAAAGGAGACTGTCTCTGACTTTTGAGGGAAATGACTAGATTTCTTGCAACACTGCATGTTTCAAGGCAGGAGAAGTGCCCCATGAGAGTCTTGCAATTCCCAAAGTTTGGGAAATGAGATGTCAGTAGAAACAGGAAACTGTGGGGTCAGATGAGGAAGTTGCTGACTCTGTCTGTGGGTGGTGAGATGAGCTGATGCTTCACAGCAGTGTTTAGGGCACGCCTTAGTGAGTGAGTAAGCACCCAAGTGGGGAGAAAGGATTTTCCAAGCAAGGAGAATCCAGGTGTAGGCTTGGAACCATGAAAAGGAGGGTTTGTTCTGGGGTGGTGCATGATGTGTGATTGCCAAGAAGGGTAGCAGGTAAAGTAGCAAAGGTCAGTCATGGTCCCAGTGCAAAGTATGCAGACTTTACCCTACAAGCCACAGGGACGACTGCAGAATTTTAAACCAGGGAATTTTACTGTGCTGGCAAAGGGAGAATGGGCTGATGGGAGAGAGACAAGAAGTCCAGTCTGAAGGCGGTCGGGGAGATTCGTTGGTGCAATTCACTAACTAACAGTAGTGGGTGTTTTGAGAGATATTTCTTAGCTAAAATGGACAGGACTTGGTGATAGAATGATTTTTTTTTCTTTAAATGAGGGAAAGGGGCCATAGGATGACTCCTAGCTTAGACCATGGAGAGGATAGGTCATTGCCATGAAGAGAATTATGGGAAGGGGAGCAAGGGGTGATGACAGGAACTTGAATTCCATCTTGACCATGCTGGGTTGTGGTGGCTCTGGGGGACCACACCTACTGGACATCTGGGTGTCTGAAGATAGAGATTTGGGAGCCCACAGCATATCACTGGTAGACGAAATCTTGGGAGCAGGTGAGAATGGCTGAGGGGTGTTCAGAGGAGAGCAGAGGGTGCTGAGGACAGAACTATAACCCTGATGCCTATGGGGGGATAGAGAAAGGGGAGTGTGCATGGGAGTCGATGGTGGAGGGCTGAGAAGGCAGAGAGGTACCAAGAGGGGATGTTAGTTTGGAAGGAAAAAGGGGGGTTTTCAGGAAAGAGTGGTCAATGGGATGAAATAGAAGAGAGATGTTGTCTTAGAGATTATTGGCTTCTTGTAGTTTCTTCTTCCAATGTCTCGGTTTGCTAAATCCAGCCCAGAGTCTTCATGAATCTCCAGTTTAAGGATCAACCCTATGGCTGACTGGATGTCTATTTTTGTACAGTCTAACTTCCTAAAAGAATCTAATTGGTTCACCTGTGTTTTGGCTCAACTTGGGTGCAACTAGTCATGACTGGGTGAGGTAGCAGGTGAGGGTGGGTCTATAGCTGTGACTGAGCAAGTCATTAAGCAGAATGTGAAGGCAATTGATATCAAGTAGAATGAACACTGAAGGTCTTCTCGATACGTAATCATTCTAACAGTCTCTGTTGACTAGGCACTGTTGTAAGCACTTCACATATAGTAATTCATCTATTTGAATGTCATGGTGAACACAGAAGTCATATTACAGTGTATTTGGATCTTCTCCTAATAATAATGACAATGAGTCTAGAAAGGCTTTAATCTGGCTCTTTCAAAAATGTCCTTTGCTTTGTTTTTTCTTAAAGTGGCAGAAGCCTTCTTTGGGCCCATTCTTGATGACTGAGTGGGAGACTATGCCTTTTGATCAAGTTTCCTTTTCCTGAGTTCTCTTAATTGAAGCTACCAAATATTACATATAAGGGTGTTGGACTGGGCAGGCCATATTAAAGTCCTTTGCTTCTGTCTACGTGAGAGCATGATGAGTTTAGTGGTCTTTCTAAACCTTAGAACCCGCTTCCCGGTGCATGGGCAGTGTAGCAGGTGAATGAAGTTTTAAGTTAATTATGTCAGAGCAGAGAGTGGGAAATCTTCACACAAGCCAGCTTTTTAATGTAAACTTTTCAGAATGGTGATTTTAGGCCATTTCAAGCTGACAGACTCTTTTAGTTCACCATTATATCTATGAACTTTGGGAGGCCAAGACAAGTGGATTGCCTGAGCCCGTGGGTTCAAGACCTGCCCAGGCAACTTGGTGAGACCTCATCTCTAAATAAATCAAAACAAATAGCCAGGCATAGTAGCACGCTCCTGTACTTGGAAGGCTGAGGTGGAAGGATCACCTGAGCCCAGCAGGTCAGCGCTGGTGTGGCCGTGAGTGTGCCACTGCACTCCGGCCTGGGCGACAGAGTGAGACTCCAACTCAAAAACAGAGAAGTGTCTGATTCAATAATTTACTTGGATTTAGGTGATAACTTTGAGTTCAGCACTAAATGAAACATATTGGGTTCACCTCAGTTTAATCAATTTTCACAGAATATGGGGAACTCACCAGACCTATAATCACAAATCATACATAATTCTTTGATGCAGGTTTCAAAGAATGTATTAACAGAACATTTGTTAATGGGACTTCTGTTCTTTTTAATGTTTGGACTCATTTGGCTGTATTCTATAGTGAGGTCTATGGGAAAACAGGTATATGGGAAAACAGGTCACAGCGCATTACATGTAAGTGGCTATAACTGAAGATTGGAGTATGTCATTTTAAGTAGTACTGTTACTAAAACATATGTGCAGGTGAAGACTAGTTTGTTTAAAGATGTTCGTATTGGTTAATCAACCAACAAAATATGTATTACACTTCTATTATTCATTCAACAAATACTGAATACCTAATAAAGTCCAAGCACTCCACATTTGCCATCTCTTTTTAATCTTTGCAACAATTGGCTTGAATTATGATCCCACAATTTAATGAGATTTAGAAAGGTTAGGCTTAACTTGTTTAAGGTTCTAGTGGGGGCAGAATTTGAACTGACTCTAAACTGTCCAACCGTAAAATCCACATCATTTCCTCCTAGCTGGGCCTTGGTGGGAAATCAAAGCCGAGTAATCTATGGCCCCTGCCATGAGGAGTTGACAATGAAGTCTCAAATAAGACTGAAGTCTATAAACCTATGAAACAGAAGGCAGAAGTGGTCTAAAAGTGGAGCCTGCTAGTGAAGGCTAAGAAGTAGAATGTCATTCTGTAGTTAATAGGAAGCCGTTACAAGTTTTGGATATAAAGGTAACACGACTTAAGGGTGTTTTAGAAATTTTACCTGATTTTCTGGTCAGAGGTAGCATGACCAATGTTGGCTCTAGTTACTGAAGAAGATCTAAGGTGGAGTTTGCATTGTGACTTGTAAGACTGATGCATTTAGGGACGATCAAGGCAATGGGGGATTGATTTTCAGAGATGACCCATCTGGGTAGCAAAGAAGTCACAAGCATAGATTACACAACATCATCTTTTCACCTCCATGGGACTCCCATGTGTTTATGCTTTATAAATGGTGAATCTTCAGCAATCTCCAATAAGCATTTGTAAGAAGAGGGTCTGGAGTCTATTGAAATCCCTTGGTTGAACTAAAAGCAAAGTTAATTTGACTTTTCATCTTTAAGAATATTTGCATTGAGCCGGGCTCGGTGGCTCAGCCTGTAATCCCGCGCCTTTGGGAGGCTGAGGTGAGTGGATTGCCTGAGCCCGCGGGTTTGAGACCCGCCTGGGCAACTTGGTGAGACCTCATCTCTACAATAAATCAAAATGAACTGGGCATGGTAGCGCACGCCTGTAGTTCCAGCTACTTGGAAGGCTGAGGCGGAAGGATCGCCGGAGCCCAGCAGGCGAGGCTGCGGTGGCCGGGAGCGGCCACTGCACTCCAGTCTGGGTGACAGTGAGACTCCAACTCAAAAAAATTAAAAAATAAAATAAAAAATAAAAGAATATTTGCATTGGACTAAGTTCCATTAAACGAGACAAAGATATCCATGGGAACCTATGGAAAATTATTCTACATTCTGAAATCATGTGATAAAACTTAGTAGTTTCAGAACTTTTCTAAACTTGATAAGCTGTGTTAAAAGCTTTGAAGAATTCTAGACTTAGAGATTTATACAATAAATTTACAATACACACGAGATTATACAATTATTGATGTAGGTGAATTATACAATAAATTGATTTAGAATGAAAGAGCTTTCAAATCTCTTTCATCTTTGCTCTTTTTACTTGATAACTTTTCCTCAAGCATTTTAATTTTAAGCTAATTGTAACTTATACATCCATAGGACATTTAAAAATGTCTGTGATTCATTAAAAGTATACTTTAGTGAAATAATAAAAAAAAAATCTGATTGTCAATTGGAAGAGAAAGTGATACAGCTGGAGATCAGGAAAGGGGCTCTGGACCAAGGGGGAGAATAACGTGCGATGGCTTTTCACAAACTTGAGGAGGCTCAGAAGGAGTGGGGTTCATGGGGACTGTGTCCAGTAATAGGCTGACCAAGGGGATGCTTACCTACAGCAGTGGAACGTGGCGTAGCCAGCAGCAAAGGCCAGGGCTAAAGGAGTGGTTCATAGCTTCAGGTGGGCTAAGAAGGGAAATATGGCAATATCTTAGTCTATTCAGGCTGCTGTAACGAAGTATTATAAACTGGGTGGCTTATAAACAACAGAAAATTATTTTTATTTCTGTTGTTTATAAACCACCCAGTTTATAAATTATTGACAGATTCTGTGTCAGGAGAAAGCTGTCTTCTCGCTGTAATCTCACATGGTAGAAAAAGGCCAGGCCTCTGTGGGGCTTCTTTATAAGAGCACTAATCCCACTCATGGGGACTCCTCCCTCATCATCTAATCAACCCCTAATCCCCATTGCATTAGGGATTAGGTTTTCAACAGGAGGCAGGAGGACACAAAAAGTCAGACCATAGCAGCCTAAACATTGAGCGGGCTTGGGGGCAGAAGGCAGGGGGAAGACTTGGGATAAATTCTGTTGCAGAGTGTGACACAAATTGAGGCAACAGGTCAGGACCAAGATTGAGCATCATCTGGCAGCTGGGTCACCGCATACTGTGGAGATAGGCCTGAATGCTAACATAGAAGTCATCGGGAACAAGACATGAAGGGTATCTAGGCCAGAGTGTTGACAATGGAAACGGAAAGAAAGATCACATATGATAGAGACCATGAAGACTTGGCAGGACTTGTAGATTGATGATAAAACTTAGAGAGGAAAGAGAGCACTAGGTCTCAAATGTCCTCATAGCTATTTTAAGAGTAAGCCGTGTTCCAAAGGTTAATTTGGAAACTAGTTATTTGGGTTTTGGAAGAGTTTCATCATGAAGATTCATTTTCCATCAGGAGACGCTTTTAAAAATATCAGTCTAACATGTCAAGAGTATTCTACCTCGGTATAGCCATGGAATCTATACTTCCCCTGATCTCACCATCTTTCCAATTGCTGTCTTGTTCCACATCTGACTTTGGATGATGGTTGTTGTGTCCAGCTGTGAAGCATCTGTGGGTGTAAACCCCTCTCCTGATGTGTCCAGGAAATAAGTCCACACACATATATACACCCTTAACTTCCAGCTATATAATTCTTCACTTGGGACCATTCAAAGGAAGGATGAAATTTGAGGATTGTTTGGTCCAAGAATATTTCCTTTTTTACTCTGCAACAATTTCTCTTCTACTATCCTGGTTTTTGAAGCAAAAAAATGTAGCCCCTTTGAGGTTTTTCCCTCGAAAGGAGTTTCAGGTCTCCTTTTTTTCCCTTCTTCCTTTTTATTTGCTCAGATCCTTCTATATGGAAAAATAAAGGCTACTGATGTCACATTAGGAGGTTTGAAGACATAGGGAGGGCTGAATGAAGATTAATCCCATCTTCATTTTCAGAGACAAAGGGAACTCAGAAGAGGACCCTTAGCAGATCTTAGCTTTATCTCAAATCAAAATCTCAGTTGTAACTTAATAAAAATTTTTTTAGAGACAGAGTATCACTCTGTTGTCCAGGCTGGAGTGCAGTGGTGCCATCATAGCTCATTGCAGCCTCAAACTCCTGGGCTCAAGCAAACCTCCCACCTCAGCCTCCTGTGTAGCTAAAACTATAGACATGCACCATCAAGCCTGGCTAATTTTTAAATTTTTTGTAGAGATGGGAGTCTCAGTATGTCACCCAGTCTGATATTGTACTCCTGGAATCAAGTGTGAACCACCGTGCCTGGCCTGCCTTGTAATATTTTAAATGTTGGCCATAAACAGTTGTGTACCCAACTGTTATGGCTTGTCCATTGAGTTTTCTGTTCCTTCTGCTTTACTCCATAGTACTCTTAGAAAATGATTTATCATTTAACTCCAAGAAATTTTAATGCTTACATTAAAAGTAAAATAATGAATTTAGCTTTTTTTTTTTTTAGTTGTAGTCTCTCTCTTGTCACCCAGGCTCGAGTGCTGTGATGCACTCACCCCAGTATAAACCTGCTGGACTCCAGCGATCCTTCTGCCTCAGCCTTCTAAGTAGCTGGAACTACAGGTGCACACTACCACATCCAGCTAATCTTTGACTTATTGTAGAGATGAAGTCTCCCCAAGTTGCTTGGGCTGGTCTCGAACTCGCCCAGGCAATCCACTCGCCTTGACCTCCCAAAGTGCTGGGATTCCAGACTGAGCCACTAAGCCCGGCCGAAATTAGCTATTTTAAGAAATATGAGCAGAACGGACAAAGCATCCAGCAGTGCAGAAGTGAAAGTAATTATGAAATGTTTAGGTTTTCATTATTGTGTTTATAGCTAAATCTTAGTAAAATGTACTTTTTAAAAATTAGACTTTAGGCCAGGTGACTCAGGCTTGTAATCCTAGCACTTTGGGGAGGTAGAGGTGGGAGGGTCACTTGAATCCAGCTTGGAGTTTGGAGTTTGAGACCAGCTTGGGCAGCATAGCAAGACCTTGTTTCTAAAAAATATTCAAAAAATCAGCTTGGTGTGATGGAGTGCACCTGTAGTCCCAGCTACTTTGGAGGCTGACGTGGCAGAATCACTTGAGTCCAGGAGGTCAAGGCTGTCTTGAGCTGGGATTCCAGCCTGGGCAACAGAGTGAGACTCTGACTCAAAATATAAATAAATAAATAAATAAATTAAACTTTAATTTTTTAGGACAGTTATAGAAAAATTGAAAAGATGATACAAAGAGTTCTCAAAAACCCTGATACCTAATTTACCCAAGAAGTGACTTTTATTATTGGGATACATTTTATTACAACTAGTGAGCCAAAGAAACATTAATTGGAGTCCCATATTATCTTTAGATTTCCCTAATTTTTACCTAATATCTCATCTTAAATTTAGCTGTCATGTCCCCTCAGGCTCCTTTTGGCAGGAACAAATTCTCAGACTTTCCTTATTTTTGAAAATCTTGACAGTTTTATGGAGTACAGATAGGTACTTTGTAGAATGCCCCCCTGGGACTTTGTGTGGTGTTTTCTTCAGGATTCAAATAGGAAGTGATCTAATACGGTGACATCCAATATGAAGGTTAAGCAGGCCCAGTGTGCATCCTGGGGAACTGGCAACTTCCAGCAACTATCCCTGCATGGCACCTGCCTCCCTCTGTCCCTGGGGTGAAAAGGGGGGACAGGGCTCTTGCACCCCGGCACCTGGGATCACTCTGTCTTGCATGGCACCCACTGTGGGGAGGTGAAGTTCCAGCTGAGCCAGACTAATGCCCCAGAAGGACCAGGGAGCATCTGGGCACCTTTGCTACAGGAGTAGGGAGCTGTCAGGGTGGATCCAAGGTTAGTCATTGTACCAGCTGGAGACTGGAGTCAGAGGAAGAAGTGCTTCAAGCGGTTCACCAAGAGGCTGTGGTCCAAGGAAAATTAGGCAGATTCCGGGGCATATGAGCAGAACCAAGACTGATAGCCCAAAACATATGGTTATGGTTCAAAGCAGAAGATGCAGCCAAAGAGCCCCAGTGTCATAAGCCTGTTCCTTCCTGCAGGAAGCCAGAGTTGGGATGTTCTCCAACCAATGGGAACGCCAAAGTCTCTTACCCTCCAGATGACACCACATTTGTAACTGCTGCACAGACCTCTGGATTGACATCGAGTGTAAGAGAAGGAATTTTGAGAACTCCTGACACCATGCACAATCCTGTGAGGACAGGGGCTTCTTTATTTTTCTTGGCAAACATCTTAATGATGCCTGCAAACTGTCTGAATTTGCCGTCCAGGGTTTTCCAGCAACTTGAATGGTTTTCAGATGCTTTGGAAAAAAACTCTAAAAAACATTAAATGCTGTACTGCAAAAAAGTTATGTGGATTTAAAAAAAAAAAAAGAAGAAGCCTTAACTATGCACTACTCCTGCTTTTGGGGAGGTGGGAGGAAGGGTGCCATTTTTTCACATTATTCAACTTGTCCATTTAACATTAGTCTGTGGTTTATTTCCAATGTTGGTTTCTACAAGTCAAATCAACTTAGTTGTGGGTACATTGTCCCCTTATTTTCTCATTCATAGCATGAAGCTATTCAACAAAACCATCTGTGGTAGGAATTTGTGAAAATGATAATTGTTGGTCTGAAAGAAATTTTGAATCCATCCTAAAATTTCTTTTATACTATCACAGTTTTAATTTGTAAATTTCAGATTTGGACCATTTCTGTATTGCCAGTAACTGATTGACAAATGATTTCATTTGCTTTTTTCAGGGATTTATCAACTCATTTGTCTCAGTTTTCATGACTGGTATTTTGTGACAGTCTACCCGCTGTGATTATTTCCCTTATAACTCAAGAATATTTTAGCACTAAGTATAGTCCTACAGAGTTGGTGGCTTCAGGGAAATAGTGTTTTCATGATAAGATGTAAATACATATTGTGAAAACTGTATTCATGGGATAGGATTTAGCATGCTCAGTCGCTGACTCCCTTTATCCAGAATCTCTCTTTACACAGAAATACTTTAGAACCATATTTTCCTCAATGTTAACTCCTCTTTAAAACATATTATCTCATGGCATTTGCCAGTAATTGGGATGCTGAGATGGAAGGATTATTTGAGCCTAGGAGTTTGCATCCAATGTAGGCAACATAGTGAGAAAACAAACAAAAACCCAGAAGATTAATATCCGGTGATCTCAAATATATATATATGGATTTAAAAAAAAAAGAAGAAGAAGCCTTAAAAAAAAAATATATATATATATATATATATATTTTTTTTTTTTTTTTTTGAGTTGGAGTCTCACTCTGTTGCCCAGACTGGAGTGCAGTGGCTGCTCCCGGCCACCGCAGCCTCGACCTGCTGGGCTCTGGCAATCCTTCCGCCTAAGCCTTCCAAGTAGCTGGAACTACAGGCACGCGCTACCATGCCCGGCTGATTTTTTGATTTATTGTAGAGATGAGGTCTCGCTGCCCAGGCGGGTCTCGAACCCGCGGGCTCAGGCAATCCACTCACCTCAGCCTCCCAAAGGCGCGGGATTACAGGCTGAGCCACCGAGCCCGGCTGATCTCAAATATATTATAATTAATTTCCCTCTGAAAAACAAGCAAACAAACAAACAAACAAAAACCCATGTTATCAGTTTTTAATTTTTAGTGATACTTCTTCAGTTAAAACTTCCCTATCTACCCATAACCACAGAACTGGAATTGAACCTTAAATGTCCAATGGGTGGTGACCTCATTACAGTTGAATAAGCTCGCCTTCTTGCTGTTCAGCTGTTTATAGACTTTATTAATATTGTTAGGGCACCTTTCTCTGAGAGCATCCCATTTTTTATATCAATTTCCAAAAACTGCTATATCTTCTCCATGAGACATTTTTTTATCTGAATGAAGTAATTAAATGCCAAAAGCAACAACCACCAATGACTGAGTAAAGTGGACTATACTTTAAAGGTTATTGTGTAGAGCTCAATGCATTTCATTATATATTTTAAAGGGACTAGTTGTCTTAAAGATTTGTTTTCAAGATATCAGGGTTAGTTGTATTTTTTTATGTGTTGATGATTTGGTTGTTGTTCTGTTGGTTGTTACTTGTGTTACAGAACTTGGCTGTGTCTACATCTGTAATCCGTTTGAGCAAAAGAATCAAACCACTTTGGCCTCATTATGTTCTGATTGAGAAATTATTTCTATCTTTAAAATATATGTATTGGCAAATTTAATATTTATTTATTATCATTTTCTTTTTTAATTATAAAGATGTGGAGTGCAATTCAGGGTTAGGTATACAAACGTTGATTCTGCAGGTACCCTTGTTGATGTGGTATGTCCCTCCCTCCCTTAGCAGTTTTCCTCAACTGCCAATTCCACCCTCCCTCCCCTTACAGTTTCCCACTACTGTCAATCCCTTTCTTATAGTATTATAATTGTTCATGGTCTGCTTATGAGTGAAAACATATGGTACTCTGTTCTTTGTTTTTGTGATAGATCACTGAGTATGCTCGACTGCAAATTTTATTTTAAACTAGAATATAAAGACAAAAAGGAAAATCATTAGGTAAAATTACCTCTCAAGATGATTCTTTCTACTGTTGACATTTTGTCCTCATTTTTCCAGACTTTTTTCCATGTGACCTTATACATATAAATGCACACATGTTAAAAATGAGATAAATGTTTACTTACTCTGTAAGCTGTTTTATCATTTGAGCATATATCATGATATATTTTCAGCTCAAGAAGTATAGATATATGTATTCATCAGATGAATGTACAATGATGTAGTTAATTGAGGGACATTTTTATTGTTTCAGATTTCACTATTTTAGGCAATACTGCTATGAACATCTTTGGATGAACATCTTTGGACAATATCCAATATCTTTGGATATTGTCTATTTTAGACAATACTACTATGAACATCTTTTTTACTATGATTTTGAAATTCTCTGAGAATCAGAGAAACTAGCTGAGAAAATCACAGTGGGGCATTGCATGTTCTCCCTACAACTTGCATAATTTTATTTCCACAAGAGAATGTTTGAGAATAAACTAAAATTGAAAAGTTTTTTTAAAGAAATAAACTTTTAACCGGGCTCGGTGGCTCAGCTTGTAATCCTGTGCCTTGGGAGGCTAAGGTGAATGGATAGCCTGAACCCGCGGGTTTGAGACCCGCCTGCGCAACTTGGCGAGACCTCACCTCTACAATTAATCAAAAAATGAGCCGGGTGTGGTAGCGCATGCCTGTAGTTCCGGCTACTTGGAAGGCTGAGGCGGAAGGATCGACGGAACCCACCAAGTCTAGGCTGCGGTGGCCGGGAGTGGCCACTGCACTCCAGTCTGGGCC